TTTTTTTTGCTTCTGACGACGGAAATATATAAACTTTCAGAAACGTTAAGCATTTTTTTGTTTGTTAGACAAATTTGTATATCTGTAAACCTAACTTCTGACAAGTAGTTTCCGTTTGGGATAAACGTCGAAGTGTTTACGAAAAATAACTATTTTATTTTGTAGATTTTCTTGTAGTGGCGGAACACCCATATAGGATTCTCTATATAACCAAACAATATCATTGTAGTAAAATGGCAAAGCAGATTTTTTTGCAAGAATACTTCATTTTTGAATCTAAAATAAATATACCGATAAAAGATGTATACTATTTAATTAGCGCGTTTCTTGATATCTGCTAAGTCTTCATATTTATCACCATTCAAATTATTCCAGTATGATGAATGTGTGCGTGCTTATTAATCAAATTTTAATTAAATATTTCTATTCATTATACTAAATAAGCACAGATAATTACAGAAGTAATTGTTTACCATCATGCACTGTTTTTTTTTTGTATTTATAAGAATATTTCACTTTCAACTTCAAAGAGAATATAATAGAATCGCCTAGAAAGTCAATTTCTATAGACATAAATAAAAATATTCCACTCATAGTAATAAGGTGAGGCATCTTTAATCCTCCAGCCCAGAAGAATTTGTATTTATTTCGATGTTTTTAAGTAAATTTATGCGTGCTACAAAGCGGTTTTTGTGTGCCATGCGGCGCGTAGACCCCAAAATAAAAAGCTGACCATCCGTTAGGTCAGTTGGAATTACTCCCGTTGAATATCAATGAAATTAATGTTGTAAATTTGCTGTTATTTGTTCTAAAATTTTCAATGGATTCGTATGATCAAAGCGAACTATTGTCTAAGCAAATTGTTTTACAATATACTGGGTGGTCCGAACTGTATTCCGGAAACTTCGGCAGCATATTCTGCAGATAAAACGAAGTAGAAAAGTTCATATAAATATAAAATGCTTAGTTTTGGAGATACAGGGTGTAGAAGTTTCATTTATGTTTCGATTTTTTCCTAATAATTTCTGAAGTAACGTCAAGAATTGGATGAAAATTGGCGTCTGGAAGTTTTTTGACATGAGCAATTTGATTTTCGTGTCAATATGACTTCTATTTGTAGGGGGCGCCACCTACATGTGTTTTAACTGTTTTGAAGAGTAATAACTTTTCGTCCTTACCTGTATAAATCTACTGAGTGAAAGAGTACACATTTCCGTGATTTTCTACGTAAAAAATGTCTCTTTGTAAATATCGCTACGAGCAACCGTTTTCAAGATATTTAGAATGGAAGTAGTCAATACATGTCATTATTGACAAACAATAACATAATGTTGAGCAGATTTGACTGAAATGATAAATTTCGGAACTTTTTATTTTTTTAAATTAATCATAAATTTTTCTTCGAAAAAATTATGATAAAACAGTATCTGTTGAATTTTTGACACAAAATTATTTCAAATTTATGATTTCAGTCTAATAAGTATTTAGTATTACATGTTTAATTTATGTCAATGATGACAGGTATTGATAATTTTGATTCCAAATATCTCGAGAACCATTACTCGTAGCGATTTTTACCAAGTAACCTTTTTTACATAAAAAACGTCGTAGATGTATATTTTTTTACTCGCTAGTTTTATACAGGTACGGACGAAAAGTTTACCGTTCAAATTACCGTTCAAAACAGTAAAAAAATATGTAGGTGGCGCCTTCTACAAGTAGGAGTCATAATGACATAAAAATCAAATTTCTCATATCAAAAACCTCCCATACACCAATTTTCATCCAAATATTGACGTTACTTCAGAAATTATTTGGAAAAAATCGAAATATCCCCTGAATCGACAGCCTGTATTTCCAAAACTAAGCATTTTAGGACATACATTTATACGAACTTTTTAACTTATTTTTATATGCAGAATATTTTGCCAAAGTTTCCGGAATACAGTTCGGACCACTCTGTATAAGTCTCATTATGATGTGTGTTAATATTTATTTTACTATTATAAAGTGATTGGATTTTCCGAAAAAGCTCCTTACAGGTTGTTCAAAAAATATACGGCTAAATTTTAGGATGTCGTTTCTCATTAGAAAATGTGTAAAACAGTTTCTATAAATATATGTCCGAAAATTAATAGTTTTTAAGATAGAGGATGTTAACTTTTTTGAAAAATAGTGTTTTTGTCATTATTTTGATAGTTGACATGATACTTGACAATGAAAGTTTTATAGTACTAGTACTGTTTTAGAAAATAAAAATAAAACAAATTAATCGCAGGTTTCTGGACCCGATTAAAAAAATCCAAATTGCAGGTAGAGTAAACTGCTAAAATACTTGAAAACAAATTTAAGCAACAAATTACAATTTATAACCTTGGTGTTCAATACTACCTACAGCAAATGCTAAAAAATAATGATATGGAATAATTTAATTACAAAAAATCTGTTTCATTTGAAAAGTTTTAAGATCTTGTTTCTTTAAAACTATGCTTTTTGGTACCCATTTTTATACAAACTGTTTTCCTCTGAAATTCAGCCGTTAATTTTTTGCACACCCTGTATGTTGTGTACACTTTAAAAATATTTTTATAAGTATAGAGAGTTTCCATCAAATTTAATACAGGATGTTATATTCTGCTTGATATAATAGAGTATTGCTAAACAAATATCGAAACTCAAATTCAAAGACTGCAGAGTTAAGAGAGGAGCAAATTATGGATTCGACCACCGTCTGGTCGTTGCAGAATTAGTAGTACCTTTCCAGAGCAGAGCCAAAAGTATAGAATACACAACATCACAAGAACTAGAAATTGAAGAATCTGAGCGTATTAAGTACAAGCTTCATTTACTACACGATGCCAGTATTAAATGGTTGTACCAGAGAAGATTAGATGTAGCCCTAGAGGAAGTGAAAGCCTGTAACGATGTAGAACTAGAGTATACCAACCTAAAAACCCTAATTAAAAAAGTAGCTTTCGAAGTTTTAGGTGAACAGAACATGCAGAAAAAAAAGATGAACCTGCTTGGATAACTGACAGCATAAAGGCCTTAATCAATGGCAAACAAAAATTCTATCAAAGATGGCTCTCAGACCGAACAGATACTAACTGGAGTCATTACAAGCAAAAAAATAGAGAGGTGCGAGCCGCCATTAAGGTAGGAAAAACAGATATTTGGGAAAGAAGGTGCCAGCAAGTGGAAAGCCTAATAGGGGGCGCACGGAGTACTGAGGTATGGAGAACAATCCGACAAATGAAAACCAATCAAACGGACAAGCTCTTGAATAGAGATCTACCAATCTTAAAAATATTTGCACTTACTTAAATAAGTGCAAATACACAGGGTGAGTCCTGTAGTTATGATGATTTAGAAGGTTTGATATTGATTGACATTGTGATATTTGTGTAGAATTAGATTAAAAAATATAACATTGATGTATTAAACATTTATTTGAATAACCTTGTATATCTATTAAAATTCTCTTAAATTGCATTTTTATAACTGCGCTTCAACTGCATACAGACTTTCTTTTTAAATTTTGAATATAAATAACAAACAGGAACTGAAATGGAACTTTTTCGTAACTTTGGACCACCCTGTATAAAAATAAATTGCTAATATTCAGTTTATAACAGTTCAATAGTACCTGAGCCATCCTGTATATAAATAATTTTTTAATATTTAGTTTGTAACGTTAAATGGTAGCTTAAATGTGAGTTTATAAGCATACATAGTGCGTTATACGTCGTTCCATCACTCCAATCATCTATGAATATGAGCTGTCATTTTTGAAATAAACCAATAAAATTGCATAAAATCAAAGACGGACGATGCAAGAAGGAAATAAATATATAAACTCACATTTACGGGTATGCTTTATGTAAATATAAAACGATCTGACGTAATTGTTCTCACGTCAAACCACAGTAACCTAATTGTAGTAGAGAAGGCATAGATGTAGAGGTTTCATTTTCTTTAGAGGTTATGTTATCATTTTAATAGTATTGTCAAATAGTGCCTTTTACATGTTTAAAATGAATTAGAATTCTGATAATAGAAGGTTACTTTACCTCTACTTTCCACTTTACCCCTACCCCATTTATATTATGTAATAGTTTTGTAATAAATTAGATACTATACAGGGTGCTACAAATTCGAGGTACGAGCATTGGTATCTCGGAAACCGTAATAGATACGAAGATTGAACGAGTTCTCCCAAAAACTGAAATAAAAAATGCAGGCCCGTATTTAAAAAAAATAAGTTGGTCTCTGTATCTCACAAATTATAACCTAATTTGAACATCTAAAAATACTATCAGATGGCCCTAATAAAGTGGCTATAGAAAGTGTAATTAGTTTTTTGATTTTCTAAAAAATAACGACAGGAAAAAATAAAATTAATTTTCAAAAAAATCAGTTTTTTTTCAAAAAACTCAGTAATCCTTGAAATTTTTAAAACTTTTTTGATGGCATCTTGGTAAACATCCCAAGACGCAACTTTGCTCCAATTTAACTATCTTCGTATCTATTACGGTTACCGAGATACCAATGCTCGTACCTCGAATTTGTAGCACCCTGTATAGCACGGAAACAATGCTTTATGAATGGTTCTGGAGTTTAACCGTTAAAATTGTTTAAATTTTATAGGTATAGTTTCGTTACGAATTATTCTTACTTTGAGTCTATATAACAATTTTAGTTAAGCTATAATACGAGCTACATTAAATTGAATTATTGCTGATTTAGTCTGCGATGATCGACAAATTTAGTTGTTTTTCGATGCCTTAATTAAAAAGTTATAGAACCAAATTATATTAATTCATTTTCTAAATAAATTTAAAGACAATTTTTTATTCCACCCGGCATCATACGCGGTGTAAACAAACCCCATTACCAATCACCGAGCGCTTTAACCATCAACAATAACAGTTCTACTTTCTTCCGCGTCATATCGACCGACCATCGCGCCACCTGTCTCTCAAATTCCACGCGCCACTTACGTATTTTCTTGATCGTCCTCCCTTCCTCCACTCCTGCTACCTCATCTTCAGGAAAATCCCTGGAAACCACCTGCAAGTTAACCAACGCCCCTCGATCCTTGTACCCCTGCGGCGAGATCCTCAGCACACTATTGGGAAACAGAGTGTCCGGAAGTGACAGCTCCATATCGTGAGTCATCAGGAACCTCGTGGCATCGTCATGTAACGACCTTGACATTGATTCGATCGGGGAATCGTGTTCGTGGTATTCAGGGTCTTCCAAATCATCGCTCGAGTTTGAGATTATCTTGTATTTGTCGTAATTGAGATGGTTTTTGGAGAACTTGAGATAGTTCGTGAATTCCACGTCGTTGGTTTCATCTAGAGTCTTTTTAAAGTATTTGTAAACGTTGTTTTCCACGCACGTTAAGCTTGGTTTTTCACAGTCTTTCAGTAATAGCGTCCAGAGTTCGTTGTGGCCTGTGAGGTTAACCAAGGTGTCCACCGGAACTTGGGGTAGGTTCGGACTGTCGTCTACGTCATTTTCCGGGGTTAAGGACGCGGAAACTTTTTGAAAACAAACGAGGAACAGTACGAAGTAAACTACGCGGCACATAATGAATTAAAAAACGCCGTTTTTAGTGATAAAAAAAGATTAGAGTGATTAGAACCGGAAAAAGCACTTTCGTTGGCCGCGTTCGACGTGGTGTTTCGAATCAGGACATTCTCGAGACGCTCTCTCGGCTGCTACTTGGTCGCGAATACGAGAAAAGCACGTTTGGCTGGTGTTTATCGGCTGGTGGCCCACTTTCCGGGGACCCCACTTGGACGGATGGACAGTCTCGTGGCGTGAATGAATTTAATTCATCTATCGATAATCGATGGCATTGTGAGATGACGGCGGTTAAGTCATTATTTGTTTCGTCTGGTTATGATGGTGTATGAACGTGTGTTTGTTAAATATTGATGCATTTATTCTCTCTTTAAATGGGGAAAAGCCCCCACTCCGGCATGTAATTGTGGGGCTCTACGGTAGACTGTTTAGACATATTAGGGAAGAAAGCGTCCTTACGGCATATGAGAGAGATTTCCTGAAGGCAATATCAAGTGCAATTGATTATGTAAAGAGACTAGATGTTTGTTTGTGACAAGTTTGTTTTTTACATTTTTTTTTAATTTTTCTTTTCTTATATTTGTATTTGATATTTTCAATTTTTGTTATTATTTTTATTTTATATTTATAGCTGTGATAATAACGTGTAATTTTATGTGTACTAAAGCCATACGCTAAATAAATGTTAAATATGGATAAAGAAAATAATTAATTAATTGTGTGGCAGAAATTCTACTGGGTATTTGCCACTTTAATATGAATCACATAACAAATATCATTATTGAGTGTTGTCATTGAATTATTTTTTTAAATTTTTGTACTTTGATATATCTAATTAATTTTCGATATACAGTGTGTTTCAAAAAAAATGTACCATCTTTCGTGGGGAGATGCCTCACGTAAAAATACGATTTATTTTTCATATCAACATAGGTTCGATTCTGCTTTGTTTCCTAGCTACAGGATGTTATAGTCTTAATATTTTTTCGATTTTTTATTATTATATATTTTCTTCCAAGTACTGTTAGCGTTTCGAATGAAATTTTGACGGTAAAAGTTACTATAAATGTGACATATTCGAAGGCCAAAAAAGTGTCACCATATTCACCAGGGACGTGCATATGTTTTATCACTGGAATATTTTTCTAAAAAAAGCAAGTACGTCACTGGTTTTTATTCTTTTGTTAGCGATATAGTGTAAGCAGTTTAATGCCGATTAAAACTTGTCTCTTGATATTTTGTCGATTTCAGCCTCGTTGATGAGATAAACGCAATTTTATTAATTTGCCTTGATCCAAGTCTAACAGAAACCTTTAAAAAAATTAATATCATTAACTTGAAAAAGTTCTAAATAAGTACTCGTTGATTCCTCGTCAAAAAATATGAAAAAAAGTTTCTATAAACATGGGTATGGAAATGCATTGTTTTAGAGTTACAGAATGTTAAAACTTTTTAAAATTAGTTTTTTTGTAATTATCTTAAATACCATAATTTTATTATTTGAAATTGCTGTATGTTGAACTAATAGAAATAATAACTAATATCAATAATATTTAATAATAAATTAGGTAAAATATAGAATTTATTAATTTTATTTTTATTTTAATTTTATTAATTGCGATTAATAAAATTGCGTTTATCTCATCAAGGAGGCCGAATTCGACAACATATCAAGAGATAACTTGTAATTGGCATTACAGAACGGCCTATACAATTTTGATATCAAAAGAAAAAAGTCAGTGGCGCACATGTTTTTTTTTGGAAAAATATTTCAGTGATAACCCATATATATAAACTAGCGATGGGAACTATCGAATGAATTAGACTACCGAATGGTTACTGAATGAATGATTTCAACTATCGAATGGTTTTATTCGAATAAAATAATTCATTCATTTGTATACTAAAGCATATGTGACAACCTCGCCGTGCGACTAAATGGTTATCATTGAGCCACGACTATCGAATGCTTTTGATAAATGAAATTTAGTATTCGTTTGATTTTTGTGTGCATCAGTGCATTTATTAGTTCTTCCAAATTTTTATAACTTCACCTTATAAATACTGTGCTATTTTCGCGTTTATTAAAATATTTAAAATACTAAAATGGTAGTTTTTTTTTAATTGACGATTGTGTGCGTGTGCAGGTGTCAAAATTTTTCCGAAAATTTGTGTGATTTTCCGTAGCCCGATCTTTCAATTATTTTATTTTATATGGTATATATGGTCTATTTTTTAATGGGAAATTTTGAGAAGTAGCAATTTTTAAGAGAGATGAGATGAACTTAGAATTAATTTTAAAAATACATATTTGTATTTTAGATGTTTTAATAATACGAATTAGTTGAACTTAATAATCATATTTAAGTAATGTGGTTAAGTAAATGTGGTTATCGAACTCAAACTATGGGGTGAGAAAATTAAATTGAAAGTTTTATATGTGCCAGTTTAAAAAAAAGTTAACGATGTTTGTTTTTTGTTTATGCTAATTCTCTTACATGTAGTTTTTTGCGAAGAAATATTTCATTTATTTTTTAAAGTAAATGCCAGTAAAAGTATATATTATTTTTAAATAGTAATATAAAGTACCTAATATAAATAATTTTGATTTCTAATTTTTTATTTATATTTTCCTTCCATTACACTGCATGCTTAGAAAATTAATAAATGCTTATATTTCATGATTTTAAAGTTTGTTGTTAATATAACAAATTAGTTCTGTAATTATTATTATTTAATAAACCAACGTTGCCACAAAAAATTTAAAGACTATATTATTTTTAAATAGGATCTAATATAAATAATTTTGACATCTAATTTGTTGTTTATATTTTGCTACTACGTAAAAAAATGTTTGTATTAAATTATTTTAAATTTTGTTGTTATAGGTATAACAAATTATTACTGTTATTATAATTTTTATTAAACCAGTCTTTGCTTAAAAACATTAAAAATCATTTTCCTACATCCAAAATATTTTATTATCTAACCTAACCTAACCTAACAACAGAATATTAATAAAAAAAATGCAAAATATTTATACATACTATCCCTAACTAACTAAAGCCAAACAATAATATTCTTTGCTAATATCAACAATACCAATATATGGCAACAGCGCCCTTCATAATGTATTTTCTGTGTAAATACTAGCACCTCAATAAAAAAATAATGTGTCCTTATCTCTATATGACTCCGCAAAAAATCAAAGATGCCGGCGTCTTTCAAAGCATTGCCACCGACCGCTGTCGGGTTTCTCGGAAAAAAACCTACGTCGCCGGGCGACAACTAAAATCCAGTTAATATTTTATTATAATCGATCCTGACGAATAAATGAATTTCATAAATGAATTAATTTTATAAATGAATGGTTTTTGCTGCCGAATTACTAGAATACAATATTTCAAGGCAGATGACGCATCTATTCGATAATTTTTATTCGAATAGTTTTCAACGAACGTTTTTTACTAGCTATCGAATTATTCGAATGAATTGCAACTATCGAATGTTTCGATAGTATTCATTCGATAGTTCCCACTACTAATATAAACGTTCCTGATGAATTTATCCACACTTTTTTAGTATTAAAATATGTAGCACTTAGAGTAATTTTTACCCTCAAAATTTCGTTCAAATCACTAAAAGTACTTGGAAGAAAATTACAATAAATCGAAAAATTTTAAAGAATATTTTTTCGACTTTTTTTATTATTTTTATGTGAGGAATCTCCCCACGAGAGATGATACATGTTTTTTGAAATATCCTGTCTAAATATATTTAAGTGCTAATTGATTATATCCTTAAGAACTATATATAAACAAAACGATATCTTGGCTTTTACAAAAAGTAACAGATTAATTTGCAATATAACAATACTCATTTATAACGCCTAATAAAGAAGTTTATGTGATTCAATTAAAGAGAAGAAACTTTCTTGTCATTTTTAATGTCTACATTGTCATAAAAGGAGTACTCTTATAAAACAAACCTGTAGTTAACATAGAGAATGGAGAAATTTATCTATTCTTAACTCTGTATTATATATTTTATCTTGCGTGACAATCAGTTGTGTATTCAGAATATCATTTTCTGTTAACTACTGTTAACTGCTGTTAGCTGCATAAAATGATTGTCTTTTCAAAAGGATCTTTTCATTTTAAAAGGCATATGTGGAGTTCTATCTCGAAAAGCAGCTACCATAATTTCTCTCATGTTGTGGACAATAGTTGGTCGAGTTTTTTAAACACTGTTTTTAACATATCCCCATAAAAAATATATACTAGATATAAAATCAGGAGCATTTAAGTATTCTATTAATTGGGGACTGCACACTGCATTCATCAACTAATAGAATCATATCAATTCTCTCTGTTGTAGGAGTTTGCATTTTCGGCAAATATCTGAGAAACAATGATAACTAGTTGTTAAAGTTGGACTAATTAGACATATAACATGTTGAAGCAATGCCCTCTATAAAAGATCAGCCTACGGGCGGACTTCTGTTTACTTCATCAGCTGTACATACTTAGATATTGGGTTAGATTCTGTATTCATATTTTGTCGGTTGATTTTTGGTATTATTTGTTATTGTAGTGCAAAAAACTAATTATTTTGGTGTTTAAGTGACATAAAGTACTACCAGATATATGGTCATTATGATGGTCACTCTGTTTCTCATAAAAAACACGAAATATTACACGTTTTGTTAAGTGCTTTAACCTAAAAGTGCCCATAATTTTTTTATTTATCGTGATTTTTGTGTGTGTTTTTTAAGACTCTAAGACAATTCTATTAAAAATATCTTTAATAAATTTAAAAATAATATTCTCCCAGGTTGGTATTAAAGAAAACTGGACTATTATGTTTATTTTATTCATATTGTGGAATATCCACTCCAAGTGTTGTTGGTTCAGCTTCGATAGATTCAAACACGTATGATAAACACGTAAGTAGGTATTATGATCTAGGGAAAAATAAAGAATATGTGTATTAAAGATCATGAAAAGATTATTATTTTGAGTTCAAAATTAAAAAAAAAAAATTGTAAAGACAAGAATAATAAAGTTTAAAAGAAGAATGTGTTTTTGTTTGATAATATAATGTATGTAAAGCATAGCATATATTTGTTCAGTAATTTTTACTGAATAGTGTTGATTATTTATAATACCAAATTAATATCAAATATTTAAGTGATTGCTGAATACAAATAATGAATAATATAACAATA